CTAGACAACAAGCGTTATTGTGCCAATACATGAAACTTCCTGCCAATACATGAGATTTTCCTGCTGGTTAATTAGACAACAAGCGTTATTGTCCCAATACATGAAACTTCCTGCCAATACATGAGATTTTCCTGCTGGTTAATTAGACAACAAGCGTTATTGTCCCAATACATGAAACTTCCTGCCAATACATGAGATTTTCCTGCTGGTTAATTAGACAACAAGCGTTATTGTCCCAATACATGAAACTTCCTGCCAATACATGAGATTTTCCTGCTGGTTAATTGGTAACCAAACGTTATTGTCCCCATCATAGTTCTATGTCCCCATACATGAAATTTCCTGCTTGGTACATTGAGATTTTCCTGCTGGTTAATTAGACAACAAGCGTTATTGTCCCAATACATGAAACTTCCTGCCAATACATGAGATTTTCCTGCTGGTTAATTGGTAACCAAACGTTATTGTCCCCATACATGAAATTGCCTTCCTGGTACATTGAGATTTTCCTGCTGGTTAATTGGTAACCAAACGTTATTGTCCCCATCATAGTTCTATGTCCCCATACATGAAATTTCCTGCCTAGTATACATGAGATTTTCCTGCTGGTTAATTGGACAACAAAATCGTAATTGTCCCCATACATGAAATTTCCTACCTGGTACATTCAGATTTTCCTGCTGGTTAATTGGTAACCAAACGTTATTTTCCCCATACATGAAATTTCCTGCCTAGTATGCATGAGATTTTCCTGCTGGTTAATTAGACAACAATAGCATAATTGTCCCAATACATGAAATTTGATGCCTGCTACATGAAATTATCCTGCTGGTTAATTGGACGATAAATTAAATTAAATTAAATTAGACGTTAATTTGAGTCTTATTCTCCCAATACGTGAAATTTTCTGTTTGGCACATGCAGTGAGATGGAAGCAATAATTATTCCTTCAAGAAGTAACCCTTTATTGTAAATTTCACCAAAGTTATTGTACTACTAAATGTATGCAAGTATATTGTTGAGTGCAGATATAAATATAGATTGAACTTAGATAGATAGTTATATAGATAGAATAAACTTTATTATAATCAGATTCATACATACATAGATTATAAAATACATATATACATTATCACATTTATTTACAATTACAATAAAACATAAAATAGCACAATATCTACATATACTACATAAACTACACAAACTACATATATAGAATAATACAAATATCGTTTTATTTTATTTTACTCTCTTCTACTACTATACACTCTCTCTACTACTCTTCACACACTACTTCACACACTTCACACTAAAATAGCACACAATCTACAACTACACAAACAACACATATACAATAATACAAACATCTTCTCTTTTTTTATGCTCTCTTCTATTACCACACTCTCTCTACTACTCTTCACACACTCACTACTTCACACACTTCACACTACTCACACATTGACTCTCTCTACTACTCTTCACACACTCACTACTTCACACACTTCACACTACTCACACATTTACTTCCGTCTCTCATATCTGTTGAGTTCTCGGCATTTCTCCCCGATCAT